GATGGGCAAAATTTTTAGATTGTATAGTAGGACAATGATATAAAGTAGAATTTGAGCATATTAAAAGAAGTGATAATAGATTAACAGACTGGTTAAGTAGAAAAATTTATTTACAAAAAGAAGATAACCAGTTTAATTTTTGTGCAGATAATGGAAAACAGCAAGACCATGAACTTTGGGGGATTTTCTCTTCCCATTCATGAAGGAAGAACCAAGTTCAGACCTTTAACAGGGATTGAGTTAGACCCAGTTCAACAGTGTCTTTTAGATAACCTTTGGAACAGTCAGAACCACCCAGCTAAACGCCTTTCAGCCCTAAACTCTCTCAGTATATATTTTTCAAAAATCCAAAACAAGCCCTTGTCTAAAAGTTTTTCTTTCTATGTAGTAGCCAAGGGAACCAAGCCTGGTATTTACCATGATTGGATAGAAGTAGAACCCTTAGTCAAAACTTTTCCCACACCTCAGTTTAAAGGATTTTATGATTTTGAGTCAGCCAGTACCTATGCCCGAAGACAAATAGGAACCAGTTACTTTATTAGCCAGATAGCTAAAGATTACCTGGACACATTGAGCAAGATGAGATCTACCATCTTTGCTACCAGTGGCGTTCCAGTTAGCCAGACAAGTGGAAGCAGTAGTACAAGCAGCAGTAGTTCTAATCCTCAGATAGATTCTCAGAATCCTCTCCAAATGTGCAGACATTGTGAAGGCCTTTCTAGAAATTTCAAGAAAATTATGGATAAAGGCAAGAAGGTCAGTGAAGAGCTAGACCAGCTCCGAGACGAAGAAAAACAATTGAAAGCAACCGTTCGAACCCTAACCAACCAGCTTAAAAATTAGCTCCAGAAAGAACACCTACGTCCTTACCTAGCCTAGAAATCAAACAACTCACTAGTGAGGAATTTGACCAATTGAGTGCTAGAATGTATTTCTTCAGGCATTCTATCATTCGATCCTTTTGTGAGAAAAGCCAAGTAATAGAAGACCTAAAACCCTATATTTATACCTTAGCCGGAGATAGCAGAAATAACGAGTTAGTCATTATTTAGCAATTTCTTCAAGATCTCTCCATAGCAAGAGTTGACTGCCCCGGCCTAGCTTATCAATGGACCTATACCTATGAAGATGAAGAGCAACCTTGCTTAGACAAAGAAAAATGCAATAAGAGGTCAGAACATTTTGGTAGATGTCAGTGTAACCTAGACTTCAGCATTTGCCTTTGCCAAATAAATTTAGCTACATTCGAGCCGTTGGAGATAGAAATTAGGGGCGAAACTCGTTATCTAACAGCCCCAAAATTGTTAGATTATGGCTTTGTCTCTAGACTAATTTTCACAGATCCAGATCAGATAAATAACTTTGGACACAAGCTTGCTCATGCAGTACTGTGCGTAATGGAAGAACATCATCCGTATGTGGAAGCTTTGATAGATAGCAAACTACCAGAGTTGAAGGGAATATGGTGCAATCCAGCTAAACACAAAATGTACCTCAGAGGAACCTCTACATTCCCAGGATACCCAGGACTTCTCAATAGGAGACCCTGGCCATGCAGAAGATTTTCACTCAAAGACCAGCTCAATAAATGGAGAAAATTTGCTAGCAACTCTCTCTTAGCCTATAATGGAAATTATGGACATCTAGTCTGTGAAGATAGACATCAGAAGATACATTGTAATTTAGCCATCCCAGGATATCCATTCAGCAAAGAGACATTTGTCGATGAAAGTCAGTACCCGAACTATCAGCATGGCGTCTCTCATGAATCATCGGTGATGGGAGAGAATGATCAGGAATGGTACGATGAACCACCCATGGGAGATGGGGATGACTTTTACGACCAACTCTCAGCAGCAGACCTTGACGACCTAGCAGACAGAATGTATGGGTAAAAAAAAAAAAATGGGGGTCTCAAAAAAAATTTTTTAACTCTAAATTTAAATAATTAAAAAACTAAAAAACAAACACAGATCCCAAATCGTCTCTCGACTTGAAATAAGTAGGCAACTCAACTCTTCGGCCATGTTTGTTACCGTCTTGATATTCAAATTATTTTGGTAATGTTTTGTTTGACTTGTTTTAAATTAAAATTAGTTTACTTTTTAAATTATTTTATATATATATATTTTTTTAAAAATTAAAATGTATATTTATTTATATCATTTTAAATAAATATTTATCATTTTTATACTATTTTATCTTTTATGACATTAAAAGTAATCTTTAAAAATTTAAAAATATTTTTTTAATATTTATTTTTATCAAATTAGTTTATATTTTTTTAAGAAAATTGATAATTTTTTCTGAAAAAAAAACTAAACAAGGCCTTTATTTTTTTAGGTTATCAAGTTTTTTTTTTTTAATATTCTAAAAAATTGAACTATTTATCAAATAACTCATTTTTTAAATTATTTAACAAATTAATTGATTTTTTTAAAACTAGAAGTTCAAAATGTGACTTCATTTCATTGAATATGCAATTTTATATTAATATGACCTACTAGTTTATAGCACTAAGTCATGTCAATATAAAATCACATCTCATCACTAAATCGCATTTTGAAATTACAATTTTAAAAAGTCAATTAGTTTGATAAACACTTTGAAAAGTTTGCTATTTTAAAAAACATATTTAAAAAACAAACTCTAGGCTATCCATATATATTATTTATATAAAAATTAGATCAATTCGATTTTATCGTTAATTTCAAATATATATATTTAAAAAAACACATTTGTTATTCATATTTTTTTAAGGCAAATATGATTAAATAAATAGATTACAATTTTTTGATGAATGATACAAAAAAAATCTTAAAATTAAACGAATTATACCATCAAAACGAAACATGTGGCAAGTCACACGAGCCCAAACAGCATGGAATGGAGAGAAGCCTCATCAATGATGAAGTAAAAATAAAAATACTTCTCTTCTTACTTTTTAATAATTAGATTTTTTTTTAATTTATTTAAGTTGTAGGTAGAAAAGTACACCAAACACTTACACATAAATTTTCAAATCAATATATATAAATTATAAACAGTTCCGTAAATTGTATCAAATAATTTCAAAATGACATGATATTAAAGCAGTGTTTGATAAAACTAAAAGCTGAAAATTGAAAATTAAATATTAAAAACTTCATACTTAGATTTGATAAAAAAATTAAGTGTTAGACTAAAAATAAGTTATTTGATAAGTATAAGATCAAGTTTAAAATTTATTATTATTAAATTATATATTTTAATTTTTATATTGTGATAGTAGTAGTGGTGGTGACAACATGGTGGTGGTTGTAGCGTTGAAGGTGGTAGTAGTGGTGGCATGATAGCGTTGGTGGTAGCAGTAATAACGATGTTAGTGGTAGTAAAATAATATTGATACTTATGGCAACAATGACAATGTTGATAAAGGTGGTAATAACTTGTTTTCATTTTTTCAAAAAACACTTTTCAAAAAATTTTACTTTCTTATTTTCCGTATTTTTTTGTTTTTACTGAATTTTTTTAATATTTTAAGCAATTTTTTTTTTACTTTTTAGAGACACCTAACATAAATACACCTAAAAAGTAAAAAAATTGTAAATTTTTTTTTTTAAAAATTCACTAAATATCAAAAATGCAAAAAAAATTATAAAAATTCAGTACATTTTTTTGTATTTTTATGTATTTATTAATTTTTAAAAATATTTTTTTACAAATTTTTTATTTTTTAGATACATTTAACTAAGGTACATCTAAAAAAGTAATAAAAATGTTTAAAATTTAAAAAATATTCACTAAAAACAAAAGAATACGAAAATCAAAAAACTCAGTTTTCAAAAAACTTAATCCAGAAAACTCAAACCAAACACACTGAATGGTAATGGTAGCAGTAGCAATATTAGTAGTAGTAAAATGATGGTGATACTTATGACAACAATAATAATGGTGATAAAGGTGGTGATAGTAGTGATAATGGTAATGGTAGCGTGGCGGTAGCGATAGTAATAGCGATAGTAATGATGGTAGTAGTAATAAATTTATAAGTGTATATCAATGCATATATTTAGTATTTATAATCTGGGTAGCAATAGTTTTGAAAAATTAACTCCCAACCTGTTTCAAACACAACCAAGCATTTCAATGACCAAACTCAATAAGGAATAAGACGAAACCTGAGGACCGGGTCCTTTAAAGATATGATGTTAATGCCAAGAATTGGGAAAATGAAGAGTTTGAAATACACAAAACCCAATTCTTTCGTCCAGATGATTTAATGGGACCTGCATTGGTTGTTGACAACAAGTTGTAGTGATAGATCCAAAGCACCTAATTGAGGAAACCACTTGCTCCATACTCTGGCATAAGTTGTTTAACATGGCTACCAAAACAGTGTTTTATAATTGGGACCAGAAAGGCAGCCCCTTCCTCATTCTAGGTATATCACAGGATCTAGTACACATTTTTAAGCATGCCTAACATATTTAGGGACTAGCCTTTTAGGCAACATTTGTTTGGCCTCTTAGAGGGTGGGACTGATTAACAATCTAGGGGGCCCACCAAAATCATGTCTGGTTGTGATAAAATACCATGGGACTACAATCCCCCTCAAGGGCAAAATTAGCATTCCTATAGCAGGGTTGGGATTGCTAATCCACTCTCATGGGATTGAATGTAAAAAGACTATTTTGCCCCCAGTTTACAAAAATAACAAAGCCACTTTTTATGTAATGAGGACTAACCAAGTAATACCACCACACTAATATACAAACATGCATGTGGATTGGCCACGCCATTGCCAGATTGGCTCCTCCAATAGATCTTGATTCCACATGTCAACCTCGTAAGGTGACACCTAGATCAATTAAATATTGCCACGTGTGCTAGTCAAGGCACGTCTCAAGTCAAGGCACAGCACTAGGTGGCAATATCCAGGAAAGCCCCATGCAAGCTTACTGTTCAGCGGAGCATGCCTCCACGCTGAAGTGACAATTAACCATCTTCCAGCCAATACATACTAGTTATACTAGTTCTTTTCTTTGCATCATAAATGAATAAATGTAGAACATTATACAGGCACAGTGTGCGAGCTAGTGCACCTTTGATACAAATACAAAGTAATATTCATAGACACACCTTCACAATATTGTCAGCATACTTCATGACCATCGATACAGCAATGCCACTGCAAAGATAACAAATTAATTTATACTGGAAGAAATAAATTTAGATATGTAAAATGGAACTATTTAAATTAATCAAAAGTCAACAAGAAAAACCAAAGTTCATATGTAATGGAGCTATTTAGCTAAGTCAATTGATTTACTAAAGTAGCAGGTGCTCCACAGGGCACATTCTTTTACTACAGCCAACAATCAACAAAAATTTATGGATGCCCTTTCTTCCTCTCAGAAAAGGGAAATGAAACCCCCAAAAAAAAAAACTTACAAAAAAAAGGAACAAAAAAATCCCTCAACTAAAACCTAAATTACAAAAAGGATCTAGTTTATATTATGAAGTTCACAGTATTAGATTATGTTAAGAGGGAAAAAGGATTTTTTTAATTTAAATGATTAATACGCAGAAAAAGGACATTCGGTACAAGATTATGCATGGAAGAAAACTAAAAAAAGGACAGTACATGCTAGAGACCATCTCACTGATCAAAGTCACAACTGATACAAATAGTCAAACAGATGATGTAAAACCAGTAATGTACGAGAAAACTGTCATGGACTCTCACCATGGTCCAATAAGTGGTTCTGACATACAGTATTCTTTGTAAAATTCTTAATAAAAAAATTGGCCTTGATGGAAATCACTTTTCCGTTGGGACCACATTTCATTTATATACTACACATATATCTATGAGATGGTACTGTCTAATAAAACAATTGTAGAAATTGACATGCTTGAAAATTTTTTTCCACTTAATAGTTGAGATTACCCAACGTAAGGCAGTGAAATAATTTCCGTTAGAATAATAAATAATGAACTTGGTACAAGTTATGTCTTTTACTACCACACATTGCACAACCAACAATGCAAGCAATAAACATTTCCTCAACCCCGTCTGAATATCTGAGCTCAAGAAGTTTGAAGCAAGTTTATAATAATCTACAAAATTTGCCAAATCTTCACATTCCTACGGAAGAGTGATCTCTATCAAATCAGAAATTTTGGAACTAGAAAGGAAAAAAGCTATCGATGGATAATACCAATTCAATCTTATTACCTTAGTGCATGGTTAAGAATCATAAGAGTTGTAATTAATGAGTATCCGTAGAAGAACCCCCTGTAAAAGAAAAGTTTTACTCATGAAATATAAAGAAATTATGAATTCATTTAAGCACTGCTACAGGAGAACTAGACTAGTTAAGTAACAAACTAGTCATAGACAAACATGTCAAAAACATATTGAATCTGCCAACTTATGAAGTCAAGCCAAAAAGAAGGAGAGAGAGAGAGAGAGAGAGAATGCAACCACCATTCTGTTTTCCTCAAAAGAATTGACATTTAGTTTCTGTTCTAGTCTTCTCTAGTAGTTGTAAGGGAGGGAAGTTGGAAATTGTAGTATCGAGAAACTTCAAAGCAGGGCTAATGAGATATAATAGAAAATAACATGCCACCATCAAAATAAAGACTAAAAATCTTAATCACCTAAAGACAGAAGAAGATATTAATACATCCACATATATGTAAATAAAATTGCAATGAAGAAAGAAGATGAAGTTTTACACCAGCATCAGAGAAACACAGTTGCCTATCTCATCAGGAATTTGACCAGTTAATTTGTTCCCCAGAAAATCCCTGAAAATATTTCAAATATAACATCTAAAGTTGGTATTATGTTAACCTGGTTACAATGAGCAAGAACACCAAATCAACAGGATTAGCAAAGAAAGCATACATGGGCTGTAGATTCTTCAGGTCTCCAATGGCTGGTGAAATCTCCCCACCCAAGTTCAAATTTGACAAATTCCTTCGACAAACAAATATAATAAAAATATATATATACATTAAAAATAAAAATTAAAACATAATTCAGCAAAAGAAGTTCCCTACAGGCTCAGTTTCTCCCTGTATTCCAGTCAGGCAATTTCCTATCAGTGCTGTAATTTTGATTTCGAACTCAATTCTTCATTTAATTGAATTGAATTAATTGATTCCTTAACCCAATGAGTTTAACAAGTGCTAAGTACATATAAATCACATGGGATTTCATTATATTTTCTTAAAATTTTCTGGTTTAGCAGAAATTGAAGAACATAAAAGATACACTACTAGAAAACAAAGAGATTTTTTTTTATTTTTATAACTAGAACATATGCTAAACATCAACTACACAATACATTAATTAAATATATTCTTAATCAAAATTATTCAATCAATTGAACCAATGAGGAGAGCAGAGGAGAAGACAGTCAAGGAGACTAGAGGAGAGAAGAGGAAAGCAGAGGAAAACTATACATATACAACCTAAAACTCAATTCTAATTTTTGATTTGCTCAATCAAAACCCAAAATTTTCAATGAAAATCCCCAAGTCAAAACCCTAGTTTGAATTTCCAAACCTGACTGATGGGTCGAAGATTTTTTCTTCGCCGGGTGGCATGCATTTGTCTCTTCCGTCTCCTTCAAGCGTTCTCCTTCCGATAGTTTTCTCTCACTTCATCGTTACTTCTCTCTCTCTCTCTCTCTCTCTCTCTCTTCATTCTTCTATTCTCAAAGTTCTCTCTTTGCATATTTTCTTCATTCGTTATTTCCCTTCTCACTAGTTGTTATGGTTACTCCTGGAATAGACGAATCAGAATCGAACATTAGGTTTAAGTCAATAGCTTCACACCATTGTGTTCAGCTTGGCTTGTTGGAGCTCTTGATGTCGATTTGTGTGCGCGCGCGCGCGCGCGAGAGAGAGAGAGAGAGAGGGTTTGGAGAGTATTTTGGGACTTTTCCTATATTAAGCCTCTTTTTCATTTTATTTTTCAAAGTAGGTATAGTTTGGACGAATTTCTCAAATTAGACTAAAGTGTTATTACAAACCGCGCTTTAAAACTTGATGAATAGTGAATGTGCTATTGTGAATCGCAATTTTAATTAAGAAAACGCTGTTTGAAATAACGATTTTAAGGTAAATTTTTTTTTTCTGAATAAAACGCTATTCTAAATAGTGCTTTATTTGTGGATTCATTTTGCGAATAAAACGTTATTTGAAATAACGATTTTACTGTGCATTTCTTTTGTGAAGAAATAGCGTTTTCGCTGTTAATTAATGAAAACGCTAATTGAAAGAACGCTTTTAAAACTCCTATAAAACACGGGTATGGTCTTATTTGCAATCACGTTTTTGACACTTAGGTTTTTCGTCTCTTGCTCGATCTCTCTCATTTCTCAGACTCTCTAGCTCTCACTCTCCATCTCCCTCTGCTCTCAGACTCACTCGCTCTCAATCTCGCTCTACTTCGGCTCTCACTGTCGCTCTCGCTCTCCCTCTACTCTCTGCTCTCTGCTCTCACTCTCTGTCTCTGTTCTCTCTCTCTCTCTCTCCGTGGTATGACATCTAGCTATGTCTGTATCATTTGAATTTTATGTATTTATTTATTGTGTTTGTGAAAAATGTGAATGTGTTTGTGAAACTGTGGATGTTAGGGTTTTAAATGTGAATTATTAAATGTGTTAGGGTTCTAATGTGTTAGGGTTTTATCAGTGTGGTTATGAAATTAGGGTTTGAAATTTTTTGAAATCAGAAATCAGGGTTTGAAAATTTTTTATGCATTTGAATTTTTGGATGTTGCTTGTGAATTGAATATTTGGGTTTAGATTTTTTATGCTTTATCAGTGTGGTTATGAAATTAGGGTTCTAAAGATAATTGTTGCTCGATATCAGACTGTTCACACATCCTTTTAGGATGACATTTTAGGGTTCAAAAAATTAAGGGTTTTGAAACATAAATCAGGTTTGGAATATTTTGAATTTTTTGAATTTTTTAGATAAATCATAAATATGAGAATTGAGAATTGAAAATTGGAATTATGAAATTCATAAATCATAAATTCATATAATTGTTAATTGTTAATGTCATATTATGAAATTCATATAATTGAGAATTGAGAATTGAAATTATGAAATGTTTATATTTTAAAATTTGAAATCAGAAATTGGAATTTTGAAATTATGCTTGTGAATCAAAATGTCTATATTTTGAATTTTGAATTGTGAATAAACCAACCTATATTTGTTGAATTGGAAATTTTTTTTTTTTGCTTGTTAAGAGGAATTAAAAGGAAATTAGGGTTTGAAATTAGGGTTTTAAAATTAGTTTTTTTAATTAAGAATAAAATTAAAAAATTTGAAATTCATATAATTGATAATTGTTAATGTCATATTATGAAATTCATGTAATTGAGAATTGTTGAATTGGAATTATGAAATGTCTATATTTTGAAATTTGAAATCAGAAATTGAAAATTTAAAATTATGCTTGTGAATCAAAATGTCTATATTTTGAATTTTGAATTGTGAATAAACCAACCTATATTTGTTGAATTGAAAATTGTTTTTTTTTTTTTTGCTTGTTAAGAGGAATTAAAAGGAAATTAGGGTTTGAAATTAGGGTTTTAAAAGTAATTTTTTTAATTAAGAATAAAATTAAAAAATTCAAATAATTCATATAATTGATAATTGTTAATGTCATATTATGAAATTCATGTAATTGAGAATTGTTGAATTGGAATTATGAAATGTCTATATTTTGAAATTTGAAATTAGAAATTGGAATTTTAAAATTATGCTTGTGAATCAAAATGTCTATTATGAAATTGTTTTTTTTTTTTTGCTTGTTAAGAGGAATTAAAAGGAAATTAGGGTTTGAAATTAGGGTTTTAAAAGTAATTTTCTTTAATTACAAATAAAATTAAAAAATTGAAATTCATATAATTCATAATTGTTAATGTCATGTTATGAAATTCATATAATTGAGAATTGAGAATTTAAATTCATATTATGAAATTCATGAATTGAGAATTAAGGTGGACTGACAATTTCAATTCGAGGTCCATATGATTACATATATATGATCATTTTTGTTTAAGAAAATAAGACTGTAAATTGTATGATTGAATTCAAAATTTGAAAATTGAAATGAATTTGAAAAAATCAAAAGTTCAGAGATTTGAAAAAAAAAAAAAAAGAATTTAGTGCATAATTGCCCATATAACTGATATAGGGGTATTTTTAGAAAACCCAAAATATGAGACATAAACACCCAGAGAAGACTTCTCTTTATAATAGTACTACATGTATATACACCTTTATTCAGGCCTCGTTTGGCAAGTGGCTATTTTAGCCAAAAAGTTACTAAAAAAATCAAAAAGCCAACAACTCATACAAAAAAGTCAAAGATTCACTTTTCTCTCTACTTTTTGCACATATTTTCGTAAAAAGCCAAAAAATCATCCCAAACATACTATTTTTTTACATCACATTTTAGTCAAAAAGTCAAAAAGTTACTAAAAAGTCTGTTCCCAAACGAGGCCTCAGTATTTCATTTGGTAATATCAATGTGGGGTTGTATACTTGAGAAATGGTATTTGAATCTGTCGCCTATTATACTATATGAGAAATGGTATTTGTCACCTGATTTATTTCACTATACTATTTGACCCTCTACACCCAGAGAAGACTTCTCTTTATAATAGTACTACATGTATATACACTTTTATTCAGTATTTCATTTGGTAATATTAATGTGGGGTTGTATACTTGAGAAATGGTATTTGAATCTGTCGCCTATTATACTATATGAGAAATGGTATTTGTCACTTGATTTATTTCACTATACAATTTGACCCTCTAGATGTATTTATTCAATTCAAGACATTGTGCATATTTAATAAAGGGCAAATTTCACTTCAATGTGCATGTGCAAACTACCCATATAATTTGGAAACAACTATAATGTTCCTGTGGAAGGGGGTTATGTTCTTATTTTCAAATATCAGAGGTAAATCACACATAGAGTAAAGCAGAGATGGTTAAAGTCAATTTCATCTTTCAAAAAAATGACAAATATAATATGAATTTCAATTAATAGTACTAAGTGTATGGAAAGATTAACGTTTTTTCATAAGTTAAATTTTATGAAACTAATTTCTACTAAATGAAATTATTAAAAAAAATATTTAATTTTGAATGTATTTTATTAAAAAAATATTTGTATTGACTTCAAAATAATAAATGAAAAGATCATGTTCTCTCAAATAAAAGATCATGTTCTCTCAAATATTTAATTTTGACTCTATTTTATTCAAAAAAAAATATTTTTATTGACTTAAAAATAATAAATGAAAATATCATGTTCTCTCAAAATATTTAATTTTGACTCTATTTTATTTAAATAAAAAAATTTTGGTTTAATTTCGTTTGGTTTATTTCACTATATTTGGGGTCAGGCACCCAGAACATGATTAAAAAATTTAATGAGCTGAATTTGTAACACATATAATAGCATTATAGTAGAAATTAAAATTTCCTCACAAAACTTAAGAAAATTTGAAAAAGTTTTTGAAATGTGTATTGAACGAAGTGACTTATCGTCACTTCCGCTTTGTGACTGTCCACCACCATTGAAAAGGAAAATCTGAACATTATGTTTTAATATTTTTTTATTTTTATTTATATAATTAGAAGTCATTATTAGACTAGTTATAATATATGCATGAAAAGAGTCTTAAAATATTTTAATTAATAGTCCATAGCAATTTCGTAGGTAAGAAGGACAAAAAAAAATAATGGCACTTTGATGGGTAAGCCTGTGTTTCATAATACCAAATAATTGGTACGGATGGCCTGATAGATTCACATGGATAACTATCCAAAATTTACTACATAGATTTAACCGCCAACTTCAATTTTCTCTCTAATTTTTGGCCATTATAAATTATCTCTCTAATTATTTTTTTCTTACTTTTCAGAACGACCCAAAATGAGTTTTTGTTTTAGTTTCATAACAAAGCCTCTATGGCCTCTAAAAAGTGGACGAGGGTTACTAGTTCACATAGGAAATAACTTTGTCATTAAGGTCCCTAATGACACAAGTTTGAGCAAATCAAATTAACTTATCTGTAATTGTCCATAAATCTGAAGAATTAGATCACCAGTTTTAAAAAATTAAGAACAATGTTTGAAACCTCTATTTTATATTGTCCAAATCAATCGAGTTCTTTCAACTCAATGGAACAAATATTTAATTATCTACAAAACTTACACTATTATTTAAGATGTTTGTATGATTTGTCCAATTTTGTCCAATCTCACTAAATAACAAAAATACTCGATAGAATGAAGTGTTTTTTAAATGTGTGATATATCTATCTACCTTATCAAAATACTAAACAATAGATCAAGATTTATGAAAAGAAACAAAATAAGTGTTTTTAAAATTGGTCCCGCTTACATGCATACGATTAAATCATTGCCTAAATTAACGGTTGTGTAGAGTCATTATTATGTTTGAAACCTCTATTTTATATTGTCCAAATCAATCGAGTTCTTTCAACTCAATGGAACAAATATTTAATTATCTACAAAACTTACACTATTATTTAAGATGTTTGTATGATTTGTCCAATTTTGTCCAGTCTCACTAAATAACAAAAATACTTGATAGAATGAAGTGTTTTTTAAATGTGTGATATATCTGTCTACCTTATCAAAATACTAAACAATAGATCAAGATTTATGAAAAGAAACAAAATAAGTGTTTTTAAAATTGGTCCCGCTTACATGCATACGATTAAATCATTGCCTAAATTAACGGTTGTGTAGAGTCATTATTTTATTTATTTATTTATTTAATTTTCAGTGAATGCTTTTTAAAAATTGATCATATTGAGGGAGGGATCATATGAAGTTATTGCTGCTACGTGATTCAAAAT